TAATACTATGTCCTGCAGTGTTAAATAACTCAAAAAATCAATAATGGATTTACTGGCTATGCTTGCCACGGCAGCAGGGACCCATAAAAACAGCAGCCATGCTTTACAGGCCTCATTATTTTGTGCCACAAGAGAAATGTATGGTGGATTAACCTTGTCACCTGCTCTTCCTCATAAAAACAGGGATTGAACAAAACTACAACGTTCCATATGTCTCGTGATTTGAGGTTGCATTGGTTGTTTAACCAACAAAAATACAAACTCACGTTAATTTAAAATTCCAGGAGATATATGAGGACATGGCAGAGAGCAGGATATTTAATGGTTAAGGAGTGACCTTTGGGATTACTAATGTTGGGTTTCTTTTAAATGCTAGTCAGCTAAACACTAATTCATTGCAGTCTTAATTTATGTTCTGTGTAAGGTGAATGTGACATTTACCGTTTAAAAAAAAATCAGCTTCCCATGGTAGTAATTGGAGGCGTTTGTGGGAGGTATTGCACGGACAAATTGCAGGCCGCCAATTCTGACAACTAAAACTGCTGTCAAATTATGATATACAGAAAAAAAAAACTTGCGTAACATTGGTTTAAAGCACGTCTTTAATAACTCCACGTATTTAGTTATTTCATTGACTAATTATTGCTTTTGATCTGAATTTGATTTAAATGCTGTTGCATCTCCAGGTGCACATTTTTTATTAATTGCTTTTATAAAACTTGGCAATGAACATACGACTAGTAATAATGAAACCATATGTGTTCTAAATTAGTGATTTTAAATGTTAACACTGTTTATTGTTAAGGATTTTCAACCACCCCCCACCTGCCCAACATTAATTGGCTTCCACTTATATTAAGAGTCTGCAAATGGAAAATAGATTAAAATATTTATCACAGTTTCGACATGTTTATTTGCATTATGATTGTCTGGTGATATACGGTATGTTGTGTAATGGGGTTATAATATGCTCTGCGCTGCATGATGTACAGCTTAGACATAAAGCTTCTTTATGAAATGATTACACATTTTACTTCACAGAATATTGCTTCGGTGCATTCGAAAATGACGAATGCGTGTGTCGTGCTGCCATCGCATGCATTTCAATTTCTTTCCCGATTAGCGCAATTTTACGTGGATACTAAATGACTTTAATTGAGCATAATTATAATCACAAAAATGGCGTAATATATGCAACGTGATTATTAGTGGACTCTTGCATTGTGCTCACCGCGGAGCCCACAAGACACTTTTATAGGTCAACAACATCATGCACAAGAAACGCGCACACATGGTGGGGCTCCGCATGGCTTGGCTCCGATTGAGAACTTTTTTTTTCATTCCGTTGGTCAATTTACAGGTTGAACCCCTTATCCCAGTGGTGCTCGCTCTGGCTCAGTCTCCTGACCTCAGCATCATTCCCCTGAGCCAGTCAGCCATGTCAGGCACAGCACAGTTTAAATAGAGCTCAAGTATTTCCGCTGAATGTTAAATGAATCTGGTGCGAATGATCATTATTTTCACAGAATCATAAACTGTAGTGTTGCAGAAATCCGTGCTTATACAGCTTGACAGGCATAACAAAATAAATAATGTAAGGTAATAAAGCATGGATATGGAATGGCAACATAAAAAAAACATACTGCCAAAAGTAAACAATAATGATTATGTAAAGTTAATGCTTTGCCCATTCATTGGGTTTTTGTGAAATCAACAGCAATCAGCCATGGTGCATCCACTGCTGGATGAAGGTCACCCAAAGCAGCTGCCATGTCTCGTGACACGTGGTGCAAGGAGGATTCATCCTGCACCCGCCACTTGGGTGCACGTCCTCTCGGTTTAATTTAATAAAACATTGAAGTAACTGATTATACAATCATTTTTGGGTTTTACGTAGGGGCATTGCTTCATGACAGGGAAATATAACACGGTTTTAATAGGAATATAATGGGCGGTTTATCTACAGAAAAGCTTCATTGAGTCTCAGTCCTTTTTTGAGGCATATTTATTTTTTGGAATTTTGACCAAATCCTTTTTGTGTGACATATATATTGTTAATGTTTATATGTGAAAAGAAACCAGAGTACATGGCAATAAAGAAGTCAAAGTGGTTTCCTGCTCAACATGAGCATGGAGACATTGGTGCTCAACCCGTTGAGGTCCCCTGAGTCAGAGGTGCTTACGGCAAGGGCAAGTTTATCTATCGGACGACTACTGTTGACTGCACCATTACGTGGTACCAATTTTATCTACCCCAGAGCGATGATGGACTGAGTCAAATCCCAACCAGGTTTTGAACTCGCAAACCTTAGCGATTACTGCTAAGCCATCTGGCACCAAAAAAAATCTCAGATTTTAGGGGAAAGAATTTAGAACTCCGCGCAGAGAGAGACCAACAACCTTTGTGACACTGCTATTCCTCTGCTGGTCACCTTGTGGCACAGCAAGTCCGTGTGATGCACCGACTGTGTCTCCAAAGGGCCGGATGACATGTGCCACCAAAAACTAGGAACAATTTTGGCAACATGCACAGGCAAATAAGTGCACACTGTGCAGCAGCACTGCATGTGTATAAACACCTGATGGCACAAACGCACGCTGTAATTTTTAAAGTGCGTTGCTTAAATGTCGTTAGGAGTACGAGGTGATGGCTCGTGCAGACACTGCTGTGTGAGAGGTGCAGTGACTAATGTGTAGCGTGATAGTACAAGGCTCCTTGAGGACTATTAGAGTTCAGTGTTCATGTCTAAAGCTCAGAAAAAACAAACACTCTCTCCTAAGGTGATGCATTTTCAATAGCGGCATTGCCATGGGCTATCCGTTGGAATCAAGGTAAGGAGTTGATATGCTGAGGAGCAGAGGGAGATTTATTTATTTTACTTAATAAATCATATTTCCAAGAGTTCTATTAAAAGACGGATGTGCTAGTCTAACTCATTTCCACTATAAGAGCAGCGATGCGGTGATCTCTCATAATGCAGCGACTCATGGGGCATTTAGATTAAAGTAGTGTTTTTTTAAGTTTGAAATTGTGATAATACACGAGATTGGGACATGTATTTGATACAAAGTGGAATGCAAAGACAGCGGAGGCACTGGAGGACATCAGAGACTGGCCTCAATCATATCTGTTAATGGTAATACTGCAATGCAATTCATTTACCAGTGTTAACCAACTTTTGAACAAATCCAGTGAAACAAAAGAACACTGCGTTCTATAGTCCAGCAAACCCTGAATATTCGTGGGAGATAGTTCCTGGGTGGTAATAATAAAATAAGTAACTTTTAAGACTTTCATTATTCATTACTATTAGTTGTACAAAACTGTAGTTGTTAATTAAGAATGTCACGGAGCACGAAATTTAATTTACTCTCTGCTTCCCCATGAAAAGGGCTAAGATAGCAATTGTGTGTGGGAGTCACATATTCCCACACAAAGCATGCACACGTGATGGCAGCAGAATATTGTGCCTTGTGAGATAAATGTACCGAGAGAAGATTAATTTGGCCTCCTTATGAAAATAGTTGTTAATTTTACGTAATTTTAATATTGGTTAATAATCAATCTTGATGAGTTTTGCCTCTTTGGAATGTACGCTTCTTTTCGCAAGTGACACATTACCCTTCAAGGCAAGAACACAAATACGTATTGTCTACGTTTTTACTTAAAACTTTCGTAACTGCAGGATTTCATATTATTTGACTCTTTCGGTAAAGCCACGTAGATAGATAAATAATAAAAATATCACGACGTTTCGATCGCAACACAAGCAATCATCTTCAGGTAAGAGAGAGAGCAATCTGCTGAGACAAGGTCTTATATAGGCCTGAGATGGGTGCATCAAGGTAGGTGGGTGGGGCTAGAGATGGTTCAACCACAGAGGCTGGGGCAGTGGCATTTGCATTGTGAGAAATTAGCCTGTAGGGCACCACCAAAGCTGTGGAGGTGACCATCGTATTGTGTGTATCCCAAGGGTAAGTGGGCCGGGCTAGAGATGGCATTTGCATGTAAATGTAAGATCGGAGGGCGCTCTGAGGCTGTCGATGTGACCATTGTATTGTAAGAGATTAACATGTCAATATAAGAGAACCACCGCAAACGGTGGATGTGCTAGTGAGACATCCAGCCTGTCAATGCAGAGACATCCAACCTGGCAATGCAACTCAGAGAGTCGGACTTATTATCAATTACATCGCAAATGTGCTCCCGGAGTCATGCTGTGTGGAGAAGGAACATCCCAAACTCTTAGAGTCAGCAGAGCTTCGCATTCCGTTCGAGAATAGTACCCTGAAGATGCAAATGGAGCCTCCTAAATCGTCCTCATATAGCAAAAAATTAAATGCATGGCGCTAATTCATATTTAGGCATCAGCATTGGTGAATGAGGCTTTCATCCAGCAGTTAATATACAGTGCAATGGTTGATATTGATATTGTAGGTAGAACGACTGCATGCTAGGAATCAAACATTTAACATTTTAACCGTTATGTTTGGGATAAGGTTGAATTAAGTGAGGCGTTAAGCTGCGTATGGCGGTGTTCTTTCCAAGTTGTTCCTCACTGAACTGAGGCCATCAACTCGCTACACATTAGAGCCTGCCTGGATTTGATCCTAGAATCACGTAGTGATGACTGTTATTATATCATCATAGATAAAAACACCTCAGCCACTTAGCCACCTGACTGCCACAGTATTTGTTTTTGTAATTCGAGTCAAGAAACGTTTAAAAAAAAACGAATGTGAATTACGTACCTTAAAACGTAGATATTCCTAGCCTATTGACCTTCCCTAAAAACAAATGTGGATCACTATGTCTTTTATAAACTATAGAGAGACGTAACCTGGATAACCATCCAAAGTTGGGATTCAATTCCGATGACGTGCTGGATTGCCTGCACGTACCCCAACAAGATTTGCCATCCACGTGTCACGAGGTAAACAGCAGACAGCGCGTTCGTAATAGTGATGGGTATGCCACTGCTTGTACGATTGTGTTGCAGTTTGCTCGGGGACAGAGAACAAGCTGAGTCTGAGTGCGACGAGGGACCTCCAGTACCAGGCGCTTCGGAAGACGTACGAGCATTGCCAGGTGGTGCTGGGGAATCTGGAGATCACCAACATTGGCGCCGACAAGGACCTCTCCTTTCTGCGGGTAAGAATCCCGTGATGGTCAACTTTAGGTTCATTGATTACCGCAGTCACGACTGGCCTGCCACAATTGTATGACACCTTTTTAAAGAAGCCATTTAATTGAACTATAGCTTTCTTGCAAAGACAATGTGGTGCCATTGCAATCGATTCATTACCTGGCATTCTAATCAACATCAACCGTGCTTAATCCACTGCTGGATGGTGGGCATCACCAAGCGGCCACCATGTATCATGCTCCTGTGGTATAATGATCTAACGAGGACCTGCACACAAACTTCATCTCCCTGGTGGGTGTCCTCTCTGCTCCATCCCGTCCCCTGGCTGCAGCTCCATCGTTTGTCTTTGCCATCGGTCCTCGAGCGACATGTCTTGCCCAATTCCACTTACTTTTATTAACCTCACGTAATACACAGGATTATATAAAAAGCTGTGTGTGTGGCCACAAACACCTGATTCTCAAGCCCTGAAGCAAACTCAAGCAGAACTTGCCAGTCTCAGAATCCATTTGTTCAGCCCGACACATTTCACCAAATAAGTTGGCGATGCTGCTCTGTTGGCAGTGGGGCGAAAGCACAAATAACAAAAAAAAACTCAACACATTTGTCAATAATACTGTCGCCTTAACAGCTAAAATATATAATAGTTGACGTTTCAGGCAATGTCTCATCATCACAGAAGGAACTTTTGATAAAGCCAGTCACACTGATCTTTAATCACTGCCTCTGTTCTCCTATAAGTTTGAAAAAACATTGAAGACAAATACAACAAAAATTTCCCACCTATATTTTGTTTATAGCAATTTTTTACTCAGTTGTTAAGCGGTGAAATACTGTTTTTTATTATTTTCCTTGAGTACATTACAATATTTTTGAAATATTACACTTGAGTTGCTTTGGCGCATATTTTAGGCATCCATTGGAATAAAACTTGAAAGGTTGATGTTTTCCAGTCAGAATCTTCACATTATTGTTAAGCATTTTATCTTATTTCAACAAGGCAGTGATCCTTCACAAAAATGTTGAGATGAAAGCAATTGTAATCAATGTTGGGTAGAGAGCTCCTATAATCCACAGCAATGTGGACAGTGGTTTTAAACCAGATAAGCAAATTGTGGATAACATTGTTCCATGAACTCAATGATTTTTTTCCTTCTGGCCACATGTATTATTGGCACGGAAGTGCTTCCAGGCATAGCATGGCACACAGCACGCTGACGCTAAATGGGTTAATTTAACACATCAATTGAATTTGTGCTGGAGCATTGCCATTTAGACATTGTAACACGTGGGAATTCTCACCTTCATGCAATCGTAGTAAAACCCTGGTCTAAGAACATTGTTGACGTCAGAAAGTGCCAAGGCTTGTGGTTTATAATGAACGATATGGTGTATCCATCGACCGGGCAACGTAACACCTCTGGCTGTACGTGTGTGCCGGTTTGTTTACTTTATGTGGAATGCAAAAACACGTCCACAAATGGAAATGGTATTTGTATAACCTGCAGTCACCGAACTCTGCAGGGTATGTGAAGCCCCATTAATTAGTTTGGAATGCAATGGGAACATTTTCAATTAAACAAGCTGTGCCAGAGTGACTTTTTTGCTTTAACATACAACTATTCTCAGCACCGCTGGGAATCTGAGTTATCGTGGGGAAAATGTCTTCCACTCTGATGTTATTAATGAATCCCAGTATCACATAGAGACACATAATCCTAAACCAAAAAAATACGTAAAATAAATAGATGGTTGCCCGTGCACCATCTATAACACACTAAATGAACAATGCAAAATGTTATAGACCGACATATTTGCGTGCTTTAGTGGATGGTGTCGCATGGAATTCCATTTTTACAGCTCAATTGAGTTGCATAAAAAATGTAGGTGTTTTTATTTTAGACGTCTGCTCTTGAGCCTGTTGTTCATATAACATTGCATGAGCTAGGAATTTACCACCAAGCCACTTTATAACATTGTTGTAGAGAATTACCAAGTTGTTTTGTATGGATGCTCGATATTGTGCTCTTAGCATGGCATACATAAAAACAAATGTGTTAATGATCACAGTAATTCAGATATAATCATAAGTGACTGTAATGTCTGACAATGATACCTAAGGCCATGTGAATACGTGTTCAAGCCTTAACAGAATTCCCATAAAGAGCTGGACATTCGACAAACGTGATTCCACCAAAAATGACGAGACAGTATTTTGCCCGATTGGCCATGTGAAAGGGTGGAGCCCAATTCCACACTCATCATTGGAGTGCTGCGGGAAATCAGGGCCGTGTCTATTGATGTCAGAATTCTCTCCCTATCGACAACTTATACAATGAGGCTCCATCCGTCTTGCATACACTCTAATGCTCACGTGAAGCAACCTCACACACACACACTGGCATGAGTGTGAGGGGGAGTTGCTTCACCCTCCACTGAGGTGGTGTGCATTTGTAACTCGATGCCTTCTTTGCTTTAGCGTTATATAAAAACAATGAAAGTGATGATCGTGATGAGGATGATGATGATGCTGACAATGGTTATAGGGGTTATGATGATGACAACTTAAGTTGATAACAAATGAAGATGATGACAATAATACTGCAACAGCTGATTATAATCGACCAAGTCACAATCCAGCAACCCACACCAATCCCTATCCCATGGCAATCCATTAATCCTTGTCACCAAAACACGAGACTATAAATGTGCACGACACACCACACCAAGTGCCCATTGAAGGCCTATGGGTGGCTCAGAATAGCGTTCACTTTTGGTTGCTATGGCCTGGAATCAAACTCAGGTTGCATGGTTCGTCGCACGGTGCACAGATCACTGCCCCACAACTCCCCACACAAAAATACTTCTTTACACCAACGCGCAGAGAATCATAGCATTGGGTTTACAAAGGGCTGTACATCTCGAATGCTAACCTCAACCCTGGCATTTCACCTGCCTTTCTTTAGATTTTATGGTCAAATTTCACGTTGGCCTTCACAGTCCAAATCCGATATCATACATTCATTGGTGACTCGCACACATATCCTCTCCAAGCATTAATTACCTCACTCCTTGTTTTTGTACAAGTAATACGTCTGTTGTTGGAGCAATGTGCCTGTTTACATTGCCAACATTGTGATTGTTTTTTTTGCTATTTAAGCACTATGTTTTCTCCTGTACATCTGAAGCAACCTGTTCTTCCGTACGGATTACTTTCACGTTGTTCTTCTTGCTCTGTGCTGATGTACCAATAGATATCCCTTGCAAACTATAGCTGAGTAGATGGCTGCATGGAACTTTCCGTGTGTGACATGTCGACATTGATTGACCGACAAATATTATGGTGTCCAATACAGCACGCACCGTGCAGCAATATCAAATTAAAAACCAAGCACATTGGAACTAAGACAGACCAGCATGCGGCAATCATTCTCTAGACAGCGAGGTTATCCTTGACTGCTTCTGAACTGCCTGCCAGGCTACTCTCACAATATGTACAGTAGGAGCGAACAGATGTTTATTTAGATTTTTTAAAGATTCCTAGCATGGAAATAATGAGGCTTTTATACACAAACACAACTTCGTACAATATATGTAATATATTAGTTTTACCTGAGCCATTTTTAAATGTCAGTTTTAAAAAAATGCACGTGACTGTGTTGTTTTGAATAACTGTGTTAATCTTTTTATGAAAACGTTATTATTGCCACACTTGATTTTTATGGCATGTAGCACTCGCGTAACAATCTGTCTCTCACCAAGTTATGTTGGAGCCAGGACATTCAAAAGAACTCTGAAATTGCGGGCGCACACAACTGCATGTGCATTATATTGCCTGAAACGAGGCTTGTGGAGACATTTTAGAAATTGCAAGTCGCATACCAAATAGGCACGGAGGTTTTCATTGTGGACGGATGAGTGTTTTCAGAAAGAATACACAGCAGGTAGCTGTTGTTGTCGGCAGACCACAACAGGCTTCGATGGCCAGGCTGCATGATTGTGGCAGGACCACCAGCCAAGTTTATGCTTTGAAGAACATTGGCACAAACACACAGAGCAACAATGTAGCCATGCGTTTCAGGATAATGGATGGCTATTGTTATAAACCCACTGACATATCTACGGGTCACAGTTGCAGCATCAGTTGCGACCTCCTGGATCGGCAGGTTGCCAGCCATAATGTGTGCGCATCCCATTGTGTCTGTCAGGCACGACGGAAGCTGTGTCACGTTGCTTAACGCTTCACTGCAAAGTGACCAGCACGAATGTGCATTCCCCGTGCATGGAAATGGCTAATTGTAGTATAGCAGGCTCTTAGAAGAGGATATAATTGGGTTTGAGGGGAATCAAGTAAATTGCTTTTGTTGATCGGGCAGCTTAACATGCAGATCCTGCGTGGCATTTCCCTCCCCCCCCCTGCCGCCCTATTAAGTAGCGTTCGGGATGCTAGAGCCAGGAGCCGATCAGGCTCTGAATTGCAATGCCTGCAGAATAGATGCAGTGTATTGATGGCGGTCTGGCTAAGGCATTCACATGATGATTGTGTGCCACTGTCATGTGAGAGGACAGTACCAAACTATTGTCCTGAATTATCATCTGTGTATTGATTGGCGATTTAGGCCTTGCGAACAATGCGCTACAATTGCCCAACAGTGTTGTGAATTGTGTACGGTCGAGTTCTTGTCCACTTGTGTGTTTTGCACTCTTGTATGTCGTTGAACAGAATACACAACAGGCTTAGAGCTATGTTTTATGCAATTGTTTTACCTGTATGCAGAACCAGAGTTATTAATTAACTGGTTGAGCACAGATTCTGCCTAAAGTAATCATCATTTTGAGATGGGGTCATATTTGGAGACTCGACAAATCTATATTTTACTTATCATATTTCTAAATAACAATTTGTAAGCGGTATAATTCTTTGGGTATACAAACGTCAGATGCAGGTTGAATTACAACGCCTAAAATAATGCATAGTAGACGTGAGGTTTTACAAAGCCGATATTGAATATTTGCTCGTGATAGATGCTACCTGGCTGAGCTGGCAGATCGAGGAAAAGTTGAGAATTATTTTCGCCAATCTTCAACAAAGTAACATTTATACAGGGGATGATGATGATGATGATGACGATGATCAATGATGATCCGTGTGATGATGATGACGATGATCAATGATGATCCGTGTGATGATGATGATTTCTACAACAGGCCATCCGGGAAGTGTCTGGTTATGTGCTGGTGGCCATCAATGAGTTTGAGCGCCTGCCACTTGAGAACTTACGCATCGTGCGGGGCACCAAGCTGTACGAAGACCGCTACGCGCTCAGCGTGTTCCTCAACTACCGCAAGCACGGAGGCATGCGCAGTGGCCTCAAGGAGCTGCGTCTCAGCAACCTCACAGGCGAGCTTTCATCTCCAATCTCGAGAACCCCCGCCGCCCACCCCACAAGGCAACTCCACCTGTTCCCCCCTCTCTGTCTCTCTCTCTACTTCCAAGACTCTCATCAAAACCGTATTCAACATCCCGTGGCATTTGCGCACCATTGACTTGTTTCCTTTGTGAGTGGGTGAGTGAGAGCGGGTGAGTGTTAATGTGAGTGTTAATGTGAGAGTTAACGTGAGTGTTAATGTGAGTGTTAATGTGAGCGTTAATGTGTGCGTGTGTTTGGGGAGAGTTTAGGACACGCCGTGCTACGAACCTGGCGATCTGATTTCGATTCCCACTCACGGCCAACACCACCAGTGATTATTATCTGAACCGGTCCTGGGCCTCCCCTAGGTCGACTCAGGCTCAATAAAATTGAGTACTTGGTGTGATGTGTAAACATCGCTACTGGGTAGACAAAGGCGGCCAGGCGTGGTGCTGGCCAGCCACCCCGTCGTGTGCCGTGCCGGCCTTCATGGGTGGTCACTCACAGCACTTACCCCAACAGTCTGTTATAGGCTATACGAGGGATCTTTGTGTTAATGTATTTTTTTTACAAATATCCTAAGTTAACACTTAATGGTTTGTTGAGTTTCTTTCTAGGTCTGCAGTGTTAATGGGGTTTTTAGTGTTAATTCTTGTGAGCGTGTGTTAGGCTCTTAATTTATTAACACACGTGTTGGTGAAATCATATCATATCCTGCTTTATCACTGAATGAAATGCATACGCCGTTTTATTTGGTTGAATAAAGGCATGTGTGACGCAGTGAATACGTTATAATCTCAAATGAGCTGCTCGTGATGGATTCTACCCAATTACATGCAGCTCTAATGAAGAAGATGGTGCCAAATCAATGCATAAATCACAACACACAATGCCAGTGGCAGCCATTAAGGAGGAATAATTCTGTTTTTTAAACGTTAAATTGCTCAACTTCTAGTCGATGCATTTTCATTTTAAAAAGCTGAGCTATTTCTCCAACATCTTACTGGGATTCCAGTGTGGGATACTGGACCGGGTTGCGCTGTCCTTACAGATGCTCGTCTGTTCTCTTTAAGCATTGCTGAGCTGCGTGGCGAATCGCTGCCAAACAAATTGCCAGACATTCGTGTTAATTATCGTCCGACTATTCCCGGCAAGTTAGCAGAATGACCATTAGAGTGATTGGACAATTCACGAATACATTTAAAATGCACGAGTTTAAACGACGCTTAACTCTTACAATTGCACATGGGAAGGGGGGGGGGGGGTTGATTGTTTTAATCGAGTTTAAGCTTTTGAAGATGGTTGCTGTTTGCAGTGGGTGAACGTTCACTCTACATTTTGGAAATCCGTCTAATTGCTCTTTACCATGTGCATCTCAAGGTCATTAAAATTCTTCAATCGAGCACAGCAGGTCTAAGGAGCCCTAGTGTGTGAGAGCTAAATCAGGGATTCCGATACCCGTAGCCAACATCAATTAGACGTGAGTTCAATAGTGTGAATTTACGGATGCAAAATAGTTCAACCGAATAAAAAGGCCGTTTTAATTAAGCAGTTCCCACTCTGTATTTTACGAGCATTATTAAAACAATAGAACACCCACTCGCATTGACGCAAGGCAATGCCTAAGTGCGGTGCATATTGCATGAGAATTTCTCGTCGCCTTCAGAAGACGCTGAACACTTTCATTCGGCCTTTGCAGCAAAATATGCTTCTAAAATATCAGCCAACGATGGCATCTAAATAAAATCTGCGGAAGTCGCGGTTTTTCTTGATCCTTTCAGTACTAAATGTGCGCACTGAGGCCCCTCGGTGAGCCTCATCGAGACACGATGTGTTGTCTGGTTCAACAATGACGACAAGCAACATTTAATTACAATATACATAACAATAGACAATGCTATTTTGGTTTAAATCACGAGATAGTGTTCTTACAATTTGCTATAGAAGCCATGTTGAATGGTGTTTAGAAAAAGCATGTCCTATCATGTGGCTATTATTACTCAATCATAACATAAACATCCTTGTTTACGTCAATAATTTACACTGTGAATGTTAATCATCATAATATATTTTAAATAGAAATCCCTGCGTAGGAAAACGCAAAAGCAACATTCGGAGCAGATGATCATGTTTTCCACTGCAAAGATTAGATGCTGTTTGAATGCAGGTTTTCTAACGTCTTTGTTCCAGGCAAATACATCATGTGATTCAATTTACGTCACTTGTAAAAGCCAGTGTTTCAAAAGTATATGTTGTACTTTGAAAAGGGTCACGTATTTGAGTTAAATGGACTTATATGATTTGAAAAAAGATACATCAAAGCTCATGCTTAATAAAGCAGTGATGAAATCTTGATTTAAAGCTTTCGTGACTGCAGGAATTCATATTCTTGGTTCTTTCGGTAAAGTCACGTTAAAGGGAAATAATAAAGCAATATAATGTTATTATTTAATAATATTTTATTTTATATATTAATATTTTTTTATTAATAATATTATTTTATTATTTCCCTTCTATTATTTCCCTTCTACGTGATTTTACCGAAAGAACCAAGAATATAAAGCAGTGGTGGTTTAATAGTGGTCTATTTTCGATATTTTTGTGGTCTGTTTTCGATATTTTTAAAAACAACTTGTCACGTTGCTTGCATTTTGTGAGACTGAATAGTTTGTGATGGCATAATGGAAATACAGAACATTGTCATTGCATTTTGAGAGTGACGTTCATAGGGAGTATATTGTGGTTGGGAACATGCAGTATGGTGATTTATGTTTGTGCATAACATAGTCATTTATATGTGTTACTTGAAAAATAATTGGACTAGTGGTGTATGCTACTGTGTTTGCATGCATAAACAGAACATCAAGAATGCCAAAATCCAATTACTACTCGAATTGTATCACAAGTTGCAGATATATTTATGCACGGTTTACCTTCCGTAATCATATTTAAATGTAATGTTTATTTTAACAACATACCACCAAATTAGACCTCTAACCCTGCACTGTATATAGGAATATCTGAATGCGAATTTGGCTTCCTTCACAATTGCATGGAGTGGCGTGTACTTCGCCTTTTTATATTTTATTATACTTATTCTATCATTGATTATTGGTTAAATATAGTTGAATGCTTTGCTATCATTATGTTTCTTAACAAATGTGGTGTGTAAACCAGTAACGTACACATGTTATACATCGACTTTGCCACTGAACAAATCACCCAGAAAGCCCCCAATCTCATCAAATCTCACGCTTGGATGGTCACCACCATGGATTAAAGACGAGCGTAATCGGCATCGTGGGCGGTCGAGGCCAGTGCAGCAAAATCCATCATTGTTCTCCACTACCTCCACCTTCAACCCGCACTGACCAGCGTGGTGAAGTATGGTCAAAAATGTCTGATTATCCACAGGATATGGAATTACAAAATGGGCCCTGCATATATATGCTGTCTTTAAGGGGTTTCTCCGTATTGTCAGTCTACAAGTCACATTCCACGTTTGAAATTGATTAAAGCTTAAGTATGAGAAAAAACAATGGTATGTAACTCTGGCTAGAGATCTCACTCAGGCAGTAGCCGTGATACATTCCAAAAGGGTGGCATGTGATTGAATCAAGAAGAATGCATTCACGTATTTATTGTGGGGTTGTTGTTTTGTTTAAAAAACAGCTCGGCACAAAAAATAAATATGGATTTTATATATATATGTGTGTGTGCAAAGAAGTATGCCGGGCTAGTCAGACATGAGTCTAAAGCATCAATTAAGATGGAAGTGCTTCTCTCGAGTAAAATCCTAAAGGTTCTATTGTGCCGTCATCTTGCACGTGTTGCGTGACGTTTCGAGAGTAGAACAGTCCCACGTGATCATTGTCGATGGAGGAACGCCCTCAGTGGAAGTAATGGCAATACAACCCTTTGGGTTTGTTTAGCTCTCAGTTCTGTTGAGTTCAGATCCAATTCAAGCGATCAGTTAGAAGGACATTTAGTTAATTGTAACTTAATGTATAGTTATTGTGGCAATGCGCTTGCATCATTGACTGCATCATATCTATCCTCACCACCATTGCCATTAGCAGCTGTAGAGCCGATAACGACAACACTCAAGGACATCATCAGCACTCTTGTTTTCTTCAGCTTCCTCCTCACTGTCATCTTCGTGTGTGAGCAAGCCTTCATTCTGATACTTCCTGCAAAAATTTGGAGCACAAAAACCTGCTTTAAAAGTTTCAAAGAAACAAGTGTTGTGATATGGAGGCACCAAAACATGTCCATGAGTTTGTGCAGAATGGGCCGCTATGCCCTCTCCTCAGTGCTCCCCACTCATGCTCTTCCCGCAAAGCATTATGGACGGTTTTCTGGGCAGTGAGAGTTTCCTCATTTTAGCCAAAAAAAATCTGCGGAAACTTTCCACTTTTGTTGGCTCAACCATAACCCTGCGCTAACTCAGCGGATGCCAATCTACCAAAACGTGGTGTGATGACAGTTGCGTGAATGGGCCCTATCTCATTACAACATGCAATTACACCATTGGAACCTCATTTGCCAGTAAAAATATGATAATTGGGGTTTTACCCTTCTATCTGGCAACAAAACTGACACCTTTTTTTACAAGGAGTCATGTTTACATAGACCACAATACCTGCAGTCATAAGGCAAACAAAAAACATAACTCTGATAATGTGCACTGTCCTTGAAGTTGATTGGTCCACACCTGAGACAGCTTTCCTTAGAGCCTAGTCTCACATGGGTTGGACCAGATCATCTGGTATTGCGGTCTATGTAAACATGACTCCTTGTAATAAAAAGGTGTCAGTTTTGTTGCCAGATAGAAGGGTAAAAAACCAATTATCAACATGCAATTACTAAAACTATTAAACTAATCAAGTGTGCGTCATCTCTCCAAGCTTCACATCCGTGTGTTGTTATTCATAACGCAATGGATGTGGCATGAATGACTAAGTTGATAAAGTTCCTAGCAGTTGGGAGG